ATCCGCTTTATGTGCGTCTCTTCCTCCGTCCATGGGCAGCGGTCGCTTCGTCATTGTGTCGGTTTCAGGTGGCCGTTTGCACTTCTGCCACCTGGTAATATTTAAAAAAATTATCTCTATCATGTCACCTTTCACGCATTCCATCCATCTCTTTCTAGGTCTACCTCTACCGGTGTCCACACATAACTAACGTTCTCTTTGTTCTCTTAACATGCCCCCATGCTAACCTTTCACTTCTTACCTTCTCTACCACTGGGCCTACTCTCAAACTTCCTCTAATATACTCATTTTGTATCTTACCCATTCGTGTTACCCCACACATCTTAACATTTGCATTTCAGCCACATGTCTCCATCCGTCCCCTTTACTGTACATTCACAAGTATAAAAGAAATACACACATCACCGGCTTACTATTCGTGCATCGAAGGGCTTAGAGCCTAGCCTATGTTAGGGTGATATGGCCTTAGTCAACCACGCTGCACTGCGGGTTCTTTCAGACCTTCCTCTAAATGTATGTCAAATTTCATCAATAATTGTTCAGTAGTTTAGGCTACAAACTCTAATTAACATCTATCCAACTAAACTTTCGCATTTATAGCAAGAGGTGAAAGTTTGGATGTATAGGTTAGTTAAAATTCTGTCAGTAGTTTAAGGAATCCGTTAAAAATGGAACTTAGTAATCCACATACATCTTACTATTTTACTAATATTATAAATGCAATACTTAAGTTGGATGGATGGATGTTTATTAGAGTTTGTAGCCTAAACTGCTGAACGGATATCTAAAAAATTTAACATACATATAGAGGATAATCTGAGAGAATATATAGGCTATTTACTTTTCTTATTTTTAAAATCCAAACGGAATTAAACGGAGTAAACTGTCGTAGTCACATTTTAAAGAGGAAAGATTTGTATTTTTGTATGTATTGAAATAACTCAAAAACTACTGGGCTGATTTCAAAAATTATTTTAATCATTAAAAAGCTACGTATCAGTGAGTACTACAGACTGTTTTTTTTTATTATTATTTTCTATTTCACGCCGGCGAAGTCACTAGCAAAGATAGTGTATACTAATATTATAAAGAGGAAAGATTTTTTATTTTTGTTTATATTCAAATAACTCAAAAACTACTGGGCAGATTTTAAAAATTCTTTCACCATTAAAAAACTACGTTATTAGTGAGTAACATAGACTATGTTTTTTTATTATTTTAATTCACGACTGCGATGCGAGTGAAAGCTTGTCATTTCTATAGAAAAATATATCAGTCATATTCTTAAAAAGTTTTCAGTCGGCATTCAATTAGGTATGTTTTATTTACCTTTTTAGTTAAAATGTACCGTTTTATATTTACCGGCATCCCACACAAACAAAGTCGCGGGTAGAGTTTTTATATGGAAAACAAATCTTTTAGAACTCTTTTGAATTATTCGGAGTCCCACCTATATGCTATGCTATAGGGGAAACTTTGCAAAAATTTAAAACTTACATTTGTAAGAGTTTCTCTCGTAAGAAACGAGAAGAGCAAACGCAATGATGTTACCTACCTTGTGTAACGGTCCTAGCAAACGATATCATGAAATTAAACTCGACAACGTCATCTGTTGATAAACTTTGAGAAACATAGAGACCTCTAGTACGCAGACTCCAAATTTCAAATCAATACTTTTACACGTTTCTATAAGTTGTGTTGTTCGGAGTTATACAGGGTGATTCTTAACGGATGGATCAACGGTTTTGTGAAGTTAAAGGACCTCAATAGCTATCATTTAAACGCAAAGTTTGTTGCCCGATAATAGTTTTAAAGTTATTAAATGTTTTGTAAAAAAATCGGAAAAACTGGTTTTCCGTCTTAAACTTGACCATATGTCCAAAATAATGGGTTTACGGTGGTCATTTTTTTCTTTCTTTAACAAACCTAATAATTAGACTTTCGTACCGTTATCCCTTTTTTTTGAAAGAACTCACACGAGAAATAAATAAAAAAAAATTATTGAAAATTTTCTTAAAACAAAATTTCTTTCGTTAACTTTGAGAAGCTGTAACTTTTTTTTACACCAACTTTTTTCCTACAAGTTTTTTTTAAAAACTGCGCCTATGCCTGTAGAATAAAACAAAAAAAGAAACTATTCGCCTTTCATTTGTTTTTCGTGTAAAATGAACGATTTGAAATATTCGAGGGCGACAATCTCTTGACTTTTTATACAATGGGTAATTTGACATATATGTAGAAGATAGTCTGAGAGAAAATATAGGCTACTTACTTTTCTTTTTTTTAACTCGAAGCGGAATTAGTCGCTGGCAAAAGCTAGTAAACTATACTAATAACATTTTAAACAGGAAAGATTTGGATTTTTATATTTATTGAAATAACTCAAAAACTACTGGGCTAATTTCAAAAATTCTTTCATTAAAAAGCTACGTATCAGTGAGTAACACAGACTGTGTTTTTTATTATTTTCTTCAATTTCACGCCGGCGAAGTCACGAGCGAAAGATAGTCTATACTAATATTATGAAAAGGAAAGATTTTTATTTTTATGTATATTCTTTTAGACAACTTAGTTAATTGATACTGTCGCTTTAAACTCAGAGCAACACTTCTCGTCCAGACCCAGATTGCGCGCCAATCTATCCATACTTCTAGTGACATTGACAGCTGTCAGCTAGGGACGTGACGTTTATGCCGATAATCTAGAGTTGCGCCAAT